TCTGATACAAAAAGACATCTTTATCTGGGTCCTCGTTCCACCAGTCGATGACCTATACATTCAAAAAAAATGAGTCTGTTTGAAGCACTAGTGAAGAACAATTCCCAATGCATATGCCTGATTCTCGTTGAAGCCGAGAAATGCCTCCGCAGCGAAGATAAAACTGCCGACCTCAGCAAACGAGTTGAAATAAGCATTACATGACAAAATATTGCACGCGTAACATCAGGTAATGTAGTATATAGCAGGATAAAACAAACTGCTGCAGCCAGCCTCGTCATCCATCCAGAATTCATTGCTGAACTGAATAGTATAAAAACAATAGCAAATGACAAACTTCGCGCACAACAACTGCTAAGTGTCCATGCGCTGGAGCTTCACGAGGATCTCCTTGCACGTTGTCGCCCGTCTCTGAGGGACCTTGTATATAGGAAGAAAAGGGATTCACAAAAAAATGTAGAAGTAATAAGATCGACGCCTGCGCCATGAGCCTGATGTCTTCTCGATTTTCAGACGAAAATATTAAAACAAAAACCCAAAAAAAGTGTTACCACAACGAAAGCATTGCCTGCATCTCGGCCACACAATCGGCGCAATACGTGTGGCCGCAAGGGACTAGAGCCGTTAGGCTCTTCTTCTCCTTAGTCATTCTGAGTCTCCGGTTAGTACGTGTTGCCTTCATTTCATGCCCGGCCTGCATACACACTGGACAGTCGTCTTCGCCGTGCGCACCATACACCCGTACCTCGAAGTGAGCTGCGAAACAAAACAAATAAGTATGTCGCCTAAGCAGTGGACGGTGGTGACAACCTCATCCCGACACACTGGGCAACGCATAGCTACCCTCTTTTTCAGATTGCTTCTGGACTGATCACTTCGAGCAAGAAAAGCTACGCTGTCAAGGCTACACAAATAAATAACTTAGGGAAGAGAAATGCATTTTGCCAAGCATACTCGCTGTGTCTCAGAAACAGAACATCGGCAGCGCAGCAACTTTTATAACATCTTGATGATACTGTGGCACCATGATCGTAGGCTAACCTGAACAAAATCTGCCTGGATCTAACAGTGCTGTTTTCTTAGTAAACACATCGCGTGTAGATACAGGCAGATATTGCCCTTCGAATTTTAGAAACAACACCATAAACGACGTCTGCCTGGGTCTATTAGACACAAACACCATGAACAAAATCTACCTGGATCTACGCGACGCTGCTTCCCAAGTTTTGGGGGCTCAGTTTTCAAAACCTGAAGGAAGGCACTGCTTGCGATTTGCTATCTAGCCACACCAGATGAAAGGCACCTTCAAGTCCTTACAGAAAAGAATCACTGTTGATATAGTTATACATAATCCAAAAAATGAGATGCTGCATCATGTCCCTAGGAACATATCTGAATATAAAACAAGAAAACATATTGCAGACGCAACATGAAAAAAAAAGCTGTGCTGTTTTGAGCAAACGATTACGCTGTTGTTGATTTTCGGCGCTGGGGCTATTGTTTATGGAAGCAACAAAGGAAACTGTAAAAGCGTATCACTGTCTTTGTAGCACAAATACAACATGACAAGTTCTGTTCCTAATCACGCGAAATCTAGCACCCAGCGCCTATTATGATGGTTCCGAGCGCGGTTCCACCGGGCGACGAAGCCCGGTGGAGCCGGGGGTGACACGGAGTACGACCCGAAGGTGCAATACTCCTCGGTGCCAGCAGTCAGCAAGACCACCTCAGGAGGCAGTGAAGAAAAATAATAAAATTAAGGAATTTGGAGCCTCGTTCTGGGTCCGCAAGAACTGCGCATCCCACTCCACCCAGACTCCTGAGTACCATACAAACACCATAGATGCTTTTGCGGAAACTTTGAGCGCCCGGCCCAACCACAGGAATGGAGCGCCGACGGCCTGGAATGACTACAATGATTTAAAAATCAAATAGACAAACAAAAATAAGGTCTCGGCGATCTCATCTGCTTCCTGCTAGGCAAGCGTCTGCAAGCTTCATGAGCTTGTGAGAAGGCACGCGTAAACAGCGAAAAAATATACACGATAAAGTCATCGATCAGATTGGCGTGTGCATGTATATCTGCACGCTTACACCACGACGGCCACAACGACAACAATGACCACCACGACCACCACCACCACCACCACAACCACCACCACCAACACCACCACGACCACGACCACCACTACCACCACGACAACAACAACGGCAATAACGACGACAACGACAACAACTACAACGACAACAACTACAACCACGACAACCACCACCACCGCCACCACCACCACCACCACCACCACCACCACAACAACAACAACAACAACAACAACAACAACAACAACAACAACAACAACAACAACAACAACAACAACAACAACAACAACAACAACAACAACAACAACAACAACAACAACAACAACAACAACAACAACAACAACAACAACAACAACAACAACAACAACAACAACAACAACAACAACAACAACAACAACAACAACAACAACAACAACAACAACAACAACAACAACTACTACTACTACTACTACTACTACTACTACTACTACTACTACTACTACTACTACTACTACTACTACTACTACTACTACTACTACTACTACTACTACTACTACTACTACTACTACTACTACTACTACTACTACTACTACTACTACTACTACTACTACTACTACTACAACTACAACTACAACTACAACTACTACAACTACAATGACAACAACCCCAACGACCACGACCACCACCACCACCACCACCACCACCACCACCACCACGACCACCCCACCACCACAACAACAACGACAACAATTACAGCTGCAACAACTACAACGACAACAACCACAACGACAGCGACCACCACCACCACAACAACAACAACAACAACAACAACGACAACAACTACAACTACTACAACTACAACGACAACAAGCACAACGACCACGACCATCACCACCACCACCACCACCACGACCACGACCACGACCAGGACCTGCTGCAAACATAATATGAACTCAGTCACACAAACAAATATAAACACTATAACATTAGACACAGTGGACCGATAACAGTACCACCGTGTCTAAAAATGGAGTTGGCGCGAAATAATAAAAACGAAGAAGGGGGAAGACGGTGGACCGATGACAGTACCACCGTGTTCAGGGACCGATAACAGTACCCTGCTTTCCCGAAGGCCGATAGCAGCACTCCGAGTTGATGCACAAAAAGAAAGCATTATTCTACATATCGCGTTTCTGACTATATAACTGAAGATGATTCTATATTATGTTTGTTTTTGTTATTGAATTAATACCAAATCATGTCCCTAACACACAGCAAACCCACAAGCGCGTTGCAGGCAACTGAGGAGCAAGCCTTACAAACGTGGGCCATGACATGAGCGTAAGCCTATGGGATTTAAAGTTAAGAGTTTAAAGAATCTAAAGAATGTGATTCTATACATTCTTTAAATTCTTGGGGAGACCCAAGAATTTACATGATTTAGAGAATTTATTTCTTTCATTTCTTTTAATTCCCAAGCCTCAGCCAGACCATTTAAATAACGTAAAGAATTTAAAGAACCTATAGAATTCAATTGTTTAAATTCCTTAAATTCTTGTGCCTCCCCAAGAATTTAAAGAATTCAATTATTTAAATTATTTCAATTCTTGGGCCTCCCCAAGAATTTAAAGAATTCAACTATTTAAATTATTCAAAATTCTTGGGCCTCCCCAAGAATTTAAAGAAATTATGTAAATTCTTTGAATTCTGTAAATTCTTTAAACTAATTAAATGGGCTGGCTGAGGCCAGGGAGTTAAGAGAATCAAATTATTGAAATTCTTGAAATTCTTGGGCCTCCCCAAGAATTTAAAGAATTCAAGTATTTAAAATATTTTAATTCTTGGGCCTCCCTAAGAATTTAAAGAATTCAATTATTTAACGTATTTAAATTCTGCAAATTCTTTAAATTAATTTAAATTGGCTGGCTGAGGCCAGAGAATTAAAAGAATGAAACTATTTAAATTCTTGGGCCTCCCCCAGAATTTAAAGAATTCAAGTATTGAAATTATTTAAATTCTTGGGCCTCCCCAAGAATTTAAAGAATTTAAATGACTCTTAGAATTAATATATAAAGAAAAACCAGTGGCAATATAGTACATAAAGGTCCCTCTCTGATATATATATATATATATGTTTCCATTTATGTATTTATTCATTTATGTATTGCGACCCTCGCTCCGCTGGGTCGGCTGCTGGGCTTTGGGGACCGGCAACGGCGATGCCGCATCGACAGGGCGCGCCCGCCTGGTAGCAGGGAGAAGAGCTGCGCCCGAGCTACTTGGGAAGAGCCTGCGGAAACCCCGGAAACCGTGCAGTCCAAAAAGGCGTTCCTCTCCATTCCTGCACCACCAACCTGGGGCGCCTTGCCTGGGCACCGCAGGCACAGTGAGCGAGGCACCGCGCAGCGTGGGGGCCTCTGAGTTCCACGGATTCTGATCGGTTTTGAGGTCCCTGAAGCAAGGACATCAGGAACGCAACGCCGCCCAGAATCTGGGCGTTGCTCTGAGTTTGGAAGATCAGGGCTTCGGGTCGGATTTAAAGAACAGTTCACAAGACATGCCAAGAAAGACGCTTTTTGCTTGCTTGTGCTGCCCAGTCTTCTTGAAATCCTGGCTAAGCGGCGAATGTGGCAAATCAATCCAGGCGCGTCTCTGTCTCCAAAACAACCGCCGAACTTCAGACTACATTACGACCCCTTTGCTTTGGATCTGAATGCCCCCCGGCCCCTCGTGAACGTGCTGGCGTTCTGGAAGGGATGGGATGGGCCCCTGGGGAGTGAGACGGAAGAACTGCTGCGAAACTTTGCACGCAAACAAAAAGGCTCAGTGGTATGCGAACTGCATAAACCTTGAGCCGTCACATCCTGAAAGCCTGAAGCCCAGGATTTCAGGCCACGCTAAAAAGTGTAGAAAATGTGTAGGGATCATGGGGGCCGCTCCAGCAGCAGCACCAGGCGGCCATCACGATTCTCGCGGTTGGAGTCCAACGCTTCAGTTACCTGTGCATGCTTCGAACTCGGGGGCTGTGTGGGGGAGTGAGGACACGTCTGCTTGCAACAGAGACGACGCAGACCTATTTCTCGGATCTACCACAGCATGATAAAGCTATGAGCCAATCGCCGAATAGCTAAAGTCTACTCTGAGGGCTGGCTTGGTGCACATTCGAGTAGATTCCTGCACATACATGATATGGTGCCTCATCCGCTGAGCGACCATCACACTTCATCACCTGCAAGGTTGCGGTAGCAATGTCTAGACTGCGGTAGATATTCCTTCGACCTCCTTGCTTCTCATTTACAAGGCTTCTGCTGGGGGCGTTGGCCGTGACCGGAGGTTTTGTGGTTACAGCATTTTCAGACGGCGCCTGCTGCATGGGCATCGCCTCCGCACCCAACATCTTGTCCAGCCAGCCCGGGTCTGGGCCTTGTCCAACGAAGGACACCGCACGGACGATGTCGCCCACCTGGATGCCCAGCATGTCGGCCTCGCTCTTTGGGTCAACAGACAGCACCACCACGAGGTCCGCATCCGCTTTTGGAACATCCAAAGGCCTGCAGGGCGGGCTTCTAAGCTTGGCTTTGCAAGAGCAACAGAATTCAGGTTTGAGATGGGTGCACTGACAAAGGTCTCACAACGGTCTCCGAAGAGTCTCTCCTCTGAACCTCCACCAGGCGGAGGCCCAGGGGCAGGAAGGCCGTGAAGCACATGAGCCGGGCGCCGCTTGGCTCGTAGAGTGGCGTGAGGTCGGAGCCCCACATCAGCTCCGAGTTGTCCGAGAGCGGCAGCGAGACGCGCACGTGCGCGGCGCCCGGCACCAAAGCGGGGCCGTCCGTCTCACGGACAGGAGGCAGGATGTCGATGGTCACCGGATCGCCAGCGAGACGGCCAGAAGTTGGCACGAAGGAGGGCATGCTCGTCTTGCGGCGAGGATTCTGCAGCGACTGCAGAGCCTGAGGCAAGGCACTTGACACGATCGCACTCACATGCTTCCCCATGCCATATAGACAAATTCTGAGGTTGTCCGACCATGACTATATTCTGACTATGTCATGTACTTATCGTGTCTCATTGAATTTCAATCGGTGAAAAGCCTCGTCCAGCTCGTCGTTGTAGTTTTTCAGCTTCTCAAAGGAGCTCTGAGTCTGGGGCACCTCCGTGGCCAGGAAGCTGGAGAGCTCTTCCTGCAGAGACCGGCGCCGGTCTTGCGCATCATCGGCCGCCCCGAGGCCTTCAAGATCCTCCGACTGGCGCTTGCGAGGGAACGAGCACTGAATCTCAAACAAAACATCTTCCTCAACGTTCAAGTCTCGTTTCAAGTCTCAAAAATTGGTCGCTCTCTGCTTCTACATCACTCAAGGTGAGAGGAGGGCGCGCGTGCCCCATGAGCCGTGGGCCTCTAACTTGCCCAGCAGCAGCTCCGAGCGGTCTCGCTCCGCCTGGCACTGTTGACTTCAGAAGAACCCAGAATGCAGACAAAATTGTTTTTTTATTTTTCTTAGATGGTCCCCACCTGCAGGGCCTCCTGCCAGATTGCCTCTGGGTTTGCCGCTCGGGTGATGCGAGCAGACCTGCAAGGCCACGAAGCCCTCGCCAGGCTCGGGTTCACGAGGCTCACCGGGCTCTGAAAAATGGCAAAAAGTGCAGCCAGCGCCCAGCAGTGGCACCAGGCATGCCGACCCATCAGCGTGGCACACGAATGGCACAAAATGTGACAAGAAAGCAAAGGGGGGGGGGGGTGTTGGCAATGGTGTAGCTTGACACACACATGACATCCTTCTATGTCCTTTTGTCAGTCGCAAGAGCAGGAGCATGAAACAGCTCTCTTCCGGTTGAAAATGCAAACAGCAAAGCTCGCTCGCAGACCTAATGAGACCTACATAGCCCTACATCCAAGCAGATCGCTTCCGGCACCCGAGCGCCAGGCAGCTGGAGCCTGCGAGATGCAACAAACTTGCAGCTCTTTGACGCAACCACCGAGGGGGAAAATGCCCAATGCCAACCAAAGCTAGCGCAAGACATGGGAGCAGGGGCGGCAGGGGTGGCGGAGCGTGAGCCCTGGGGTTCACTTATCCGGCTGGCGCCACTTATGCGAGTAACAATGGGCACGACGCCCCAATCCCAGACACAAGCGAAGGTGCATCACAGGCAACAGAACATCCATGATGCACGCAACCTTCCCAAGAAGCCATATTGATACTTTCAGTATTGACCCAACCCTCCCCCTCCCCAAAAGTCGCACATTCCCTCGAAACAATCAATGTTGACCCCCGCAACACCGTAGACCCTAAACAGTGAGGCAGGTTCGCATTTCGTGAGCCTAGACGTCCAAAATGTGACAACGGCCTCGCATTTCGCAAATCCAGAAGTCCAAAGGCGGCAGCGAGCGCGCGCATACGCGAGAGCGCGATTTTCGTCCAACGTGCGACCTGGCCTCGGAATGGAAATGGTGGGCGGCAAGATCAAGACCAAAAATACTGTTTTCGTGATGAGGTGAAAATATCTGCCCTCCAGCCCCGCATGGAAAAACCGTCCAAACTAGACTAGACCCCAAGAAAAAACAAAATACACACATATGACCACTACGAGCTGGCTAGAGTTGGCAGCTGCTCCTTAGCACGCAGCAGACCGGCCTTGGTGGGTCGGGCAGGCCGGGCCTCCGGGACAACATGCCGGAAATTGCCCCGGAATTCCCCAGAACTGTCGTAGAACTGTCGTAGAACTCCCTAACGGCCCTAACATGCCCTAACGATCCTTGAAGCACAAAAGACAAAAGACCATCTTCGCTAACCCTACATCCTCCCTCAAAATTTTGAACCAAATCGGCCGAGCCTGCATCCAGCCGTCCGAGGCGGCACCTGGACCAAAACTCCAAGCTGACATTCCTAAATTGTATCAAGATTCCCAAATCCTAAACTCCTAAACCTTAGACATCCATAGCATCCTTAAACCCCAACCGCACCCAGCTGAAATCACGGTCAAATGCAAGCGAACAGTGCCTCCCACGGGAGATGGCTGACGCGTCGTGGCTGCTCATTGGCCTACGATACCCTGACAACTGCCACGGCAAGAGGCTTAGGTTAGGGAGGTGAGGGTCTTGAGCGGATGGTGCGTGGATGTGCTTAGTGTGTTAAGCTTTTTGGTGTGTTGAGTAGGTGTGCGAATCTTGTGGCTGATGCTGGCTGCGCAGCACGTGCGCCGAAAAAGGACTACGCAGCATGCACCTCGTCTTGCTGCTATGAAAGAGACGACAGAATCCAAACATGGCTGCAAGCTGCAAGTGTGAGCTTCAGCTCGGCATGCTCTTGTTGCACCCGCCAACATGGTACGCCTCCCGATAGACTGTGGCTATCGTTGAAAGCGGCGGAAAGCCGGGTCGAAAGCTCATGGGCTTGCCGTTTTGACATGGCCCAGAAGCTGGGATCCTGCTTTGAGGAAGTATCTGGCATGCGTACACCATCAGACAGCATGTCAGTCTATGCCACGCTATCTCATTCTACTCTGCCGCACCTCATCCCACTCTAGTGAGCCTAGTCGCAAGCGCCATCGGTTACGGGCTGTCGACATCCTCTTCATCAGTGGAATACACTAGCGTGCCAGAGTCTCCACCAAAAAGATCGTCTATGCGAACCTCGCTGGATCGGTCGGTCTCCACGGCCGTGTATGCCTTCCCCTCCTCGACATCCAGCGTGGAGTTCTCTTTAAGCCAGCGGCCCACCAGGAAAGGGACAGCTTCCGTGACCTTCGGCTTCGACTCCCTCTGAACCGGGGCCTGGTGTACCACCTTCTTCGGCTGTGTTTCCGCCTCGCCCTGCCGTACGAGGCCGCGGAGCAGCTTCTCCTGATCCCTCAAGACCTGGGATCTGGCCGAGGCCACACTAGCATTAAACGACAGAAGTCGCCCTAAGTTCAGTGTCAACAGATGTCAACAGCAGCTGCCGGACGACCCAAAGCAACCCAAAATACCAGAAGCGACGAGCCGATCTCCCACGTCACTGAACTGCATGTATACATATATATATATATATCACTAAACCTCATGTAACCTCACACGTCTGCTCAAAGCTCCAAAGAACCGCATCAGGAGGGTCCGGCGGTGGCATGGCACGGCCAAGGAGGGGGCGCTTGTGAGGCCGTACCAACCTCTTTTCAATCGTGAGTCATGAGGCAGACTGAATTACAGTTACAGGGTTGACAGGGACTTAAATGGTTTTTTGTGAGATTTCGAGTTTTGTTTGCCTTGGCAACCCCCTGCATTCTATGCACGACACACCTGTCAATGCACGACACAGCTGTGCTTTGTCAAGAGCTTCAAATGCCACCTGGCAGCCAGGCCGTCAGCGGTACGATGTGGGCCACCAGCGACTCACGCATTGCAGACAGACCAGCCAGCAGTGGCAGGTTCTCGAACCAGGCATCCACGATGACCAGCCAGCTGGCTAACTTCTGAAACACCTGAGCTCGACTCAAACTCGTCACGGTTCACAGCCCCTGAAGTCCCTGACGAACTTAGGAGATCCCAAGGACCCGTGTGTTTTCAAACGCGGACCTCCGGCTCCTGGCCCTTGCTGTCTCGGGCGGAGCCAGCGGCCGCTGCGCGGATGGCCTCTTGGTGCTTTGCAAAGGCCCGTCGGAAGCGCTTCCGGCGCAGCAGTGGCACCTGGGCTTCATGCACACTACAAAAGCTTAGGGCTTCGGGCCCTTCGGTCAACATCTGTGCTAGGAACCTTGAAGCCAAACTTCCGACCGAACAAGCCTGGAAAACCGCCGATAAACCCAAAATGCGGTTGAATCAGCCTAAACCCAAATATCCCAAAACCCGCCTTTCAAAACAAACCGAAGCTGCGACAACGCACCAAGCTGCTGTCTCGGGCCTCAGAGCCTGCGCACGGGCCAGGAAAGCTGGGCCCTCCGAGAGCAGACACCGGGCGGCGAAGCTGTCGCCCTGCTGCGTTCTTTGGGGATTCTTTGGGGGTAACGAGGGATGCTGGGACTGGGGAGAAAGACATGGGGGGTTTTATTGTTGACTTGTTTAGTTGTTTTTTATCAACCAGCGACGATCAGCTATGTGATTGATCAGCTTTATCATTTGAGAATATACGTATCTGAAAACAAGAAGAACACATATCGATATGCATACACATACAGATGTAGATATAGATATCTACAGATTAGGATATGGATGTGGATGGGTGGATACGTAGATATATAATTGGTTGTGTTTCGGCGGGCGGCCTCGGGGGCCACCACCCCCCCCCCCCCCCATGGTTTGGTTGTGGGACCGTTTTAAAGTTTGGGGTTCTAGGGCTTTAGGGTGTTCAGACTTAGGCCTTAGGATGGTACGTGTTGGGGGTTTTGGGGTTTAAGGTTTTGGATTGTTCAGGGTTGAGGGGTTTAGGTTTAGGGTTTTAAGGTTCTTGGATTGTTTAGGGCAGGGTTAAGGGTTTAGGGGGAAGGCTCCTTGCAACATTTGTACTTGCATCTTTCAAAGTTCATTTGTTTACTTGCTCATTAGCCCTCGAACATCCTCAAACCTGCCCTGCCGCCTGATCGTGGTTGTCGCCTACAAGAGACGCGGTTGGCTCCAGCAGAGCATGCGCGATGGTGACATCCCCGGCCTGAGCTACAGAGGACAGGCATGCTATAGGGATGACGGGACACAAAAGCACCCCCGGTAAACAGTTAGCTGCAAAGCCTCTTTTGTCTGCGAGGTCACTTGGCGATCCTGAACTTGAACCAGGACTCGGTGCCTTTCTTCTCACGGCGGCCCCCACGCAGCCTGCGAGCCTCCTTGCTAGGCTGGCCGAAGTCAGCGTATGCATCCCAAAGGTCTGGGAGCGGCTGCTTCTGAGGTGCTGCCACCACTGGTGCCAGTGTCAGCGGCGGCATCTCGTCCTCTGCCCACTCGGGCTTCGGCTTTGGCCGGCGTTGCCGGCACCGGCCGGGCCAGCGCCTCGAGCGGCGCGGCGGCACTTGCCCAAAGCCTTTCGCCGTCACCATAGCAGCGCACGGGCCGCAGGCAGCGCCGGGCGCAACCGACGGCCCCGTGCGCAGCGGAGCACCGAGCACCGGCCGAGGCGGCAGGTTCCGGGGCTGGGAGATGCCCAGCCGCTGGGCCTCCGACATGTTGTGGAGCCAGAGGCTTTGCTGGTGCTGGAGCTCGCAGCCGTCCGTCTTCAGATCGCTGAGACACCACCGTGCCTCCTCTTCGGACACATGCTTGAGGAGTTGCAAGAAATCTATGTATGGAGCCACCTTGCACGGGCTTAGGCTGGGGAGCAGGGCGTGCTGAACATGCATCTCCTCGATCAGCAGCGCTAGGGCTGCGGTGGCGCAACGATGGGCGACATCCCCGTCGTGCCCACCAATAAGGAAGGCAGCGATCAGCTCGTGGCGGACACGCTGCGAGACTGTGTGGGCCTTGTCCAAGAACTGATGTTCTTCCCGAAAGCGGGTCAATCGTTCGATCGTGTTCTCGAAGTTCTTCGGGGGGTCGTACCCATCATAGGACTCGTCGAAGAGGGCCCGAAATGCCAAGTTGGCCTTCGCTGCCGCCTGCTTGCGGTCGAAGGTGGGGTCTCCACCAAACTCAGCATCGATGCCCTCGAGGCGTCGATCCAGGGGTCGTGCACCGTCGCAGCGGCAACACTGGCATGTGAAGCCCCAGCCCTCTTGAAGGCTCGCCCGGCGGACTCGAAGGGGTGCCAGCTGCTCGGCATCCGGCAGATAACAGATGCATGCCTCCTCGTGAGCCGAGATCTCCTCCAGGGCGTACACACTAAACGGCTTCACCTCGTATTTGGAAACGGACTCAGACAGCTCGCCAGGGGACAGGTGGCCCCCGGCATTTGGGAAGCAGGAGTGGTTAAAGCGGCTGCAGGCTCGGAAGAGCATGGCAGGGTACGAGCCATCCTTGCACGGTCGGAAGGTGCGGAAGGCATAGTGGGATGCAATGTCCAGGGCCCTGGCCTCGGTGGCCTCGGCGGCCTCGGCGGCCTCGGTGGCCTCGGGATTCGCTTGCCGAAGAGGTTCCGGAGCGAAATCTTGAAGGAGCCGGGACCTTTGAATCCAGTTGGCACCTTCCTGGAGGTCTGGCGCATCCGGATTCCGGCCACTGTCCCACACAAAAGGCAGCTCTTCCAGGAGCAACTCACCACGCTTCACTGTGTCTGTCGCCACATAGCCTTTGCCGCGATCCGCCAAGTTGCAAAGCCTCAGCGAAGGATGAAGGTACAGCAGCGACCCGCTGGGACTCCGGGCGTCACCCGCAAGGGGCGCAGCCATGGCATGCGCAGAGCGAAACGTATGGTATCTGCACACGGTGTTCTTGGTACTGCTATCGGGGTTCAAAAAAGCATGTCACGAAGTCTCCAACTGGTTCAGACAGAACTGGCATGTTAAGGATGCTAAGACGGCTGTCCAAGATGGAGGCCAAGCAAGGGCAACGTCACATCCTATCAATGACTTTTGATTCAAGGCTGCCCGCTGCGCAGCCGATTACTGAACGGGACCGCATATTATCAATAACAGCTTTGAACCCGGATGTCGAAAAAAAAAACACCCGGCACCGACGCGACCTTGACCGGGGGAGGTGGAGTTCGTCCTATCATCCCCCAGGAAAGTTGGGGCAGTATCGAAGTATGGGACGTTTTGGGGTGCGTTGAATATGAGGCCTCGCAGTTCTCCCATATTGTAATAAACCTGTCTTGGACACCATATGCTACTTGCCGAGGGCTCTGCTGGCTCGCCAAGTCGGATCTCTGCGCGCAAAGCTGTCACCGACGAAACGCCCAGGCTCCTGCACTCTCTACGACTCACCACGAGCTTGTCGAGGTGGTCAAACAACCAGCACTGAGATGGCCAAAAAAATTGCCGGCACTGGCAGCAACACAGGCACAATGGAATAGAAAACTCGGCATTCCCTTTGCAAGCCAGGCCTCATGCCTGCCCGTGCGTTGAGGATACCTGCTTCTTGAATGTGTCGATGGTGACGAAACAAAGAACCACGCTCAGGGCCTAGGGGTTGAGATGCTTGAGAGCCCTCAGGGTTGCTTTGCAAAAAGTAACGTGGGCTTTCAATGCAAAGAGCCCTGGGGGGATTTATGAGTTGAGTTCAAGCAGCTCTCGTCTAGCCAGGCCAGGCGCTTGGCGGCCGTCTCAGAGAAGCCTCGGGCAAACGAGGTCCAGAGCTGGCTCGGGGTGTAAAGGTTTGTCTCCGGGGTTTGGGGCTTCAAGTTCAAGAACTGAAGCCTTTCTTGGCCAGTGGTTGGCATAAAAATCTAGTTTCGACTGGCGCTGTGGTGTGTAGTCTTCGGCAGGCGTTTCGATGTCTGCGGATGCCTGCTTCACCACTATATCTAACCAAACACATCCAGAAGGCCCCTCCTACACCTCCACTCCCCTGATCTTGTGATTTTTGCATCTAGCTGCATGCCTCCAGCTAGCACAGGATGCATGAACCCTGCACTGCACGCCATTTGCATAGCAAACGCGCCTTGGATCTGACAGTAACCGAGCTCAGAGATCTTCATGAGCGGCCTGAGGAGCGGCTTGGTAAAGATTGGTAAAGCTTTGTGCTTAGGTTTAACAGCGCGAAGGTTCTTGCTGGAGCCCACTCCAAAAAGTTCAAGTACGAGCCGCGCTTGCATTCAACACAGAGGACCCTTGCGATGCCCCACGCCCCACATTCGCAGGAATCTGCCCAAAGTCCCTTTCGTCAAGGGCCATTTCGTGTTGATACGTGCATAGGGCGGACTGCAGGATGCTTCAAAACAACGGGCAAACAAAGTTTTCAAAGCAATCCTCCTCACCCCCACAAGTGCGGGGCTCGAGTAGGTCCGGCCGCGCCAGCAGGCGGCAGAAGCCTGCAAAAACACAAAAGAACAGCAAAAACTGCAAAAACTGGCGCATGTGGCTGGGACATATGCATGGAGACTTGGAGGTGTTTTCTGAGATTGCGGGCCAGCGCAAATGCTTCAGGGTGCCCCCGCGAACTCCAAAGTCTAGCCCCAGATGCTGCCAAGAGATCACGAGATCCACAAACTCCACAAGACCTTGAACTCTCGACTTTTGCAACCTCACCAGACATCTCGACAGATGTCATCCCTCCATGCCCGAAGTGGAAGAATCACAACATACCCCGACACAACAGCCCTTTACACGTAGCAAAGTCCTCTGCAAGCCACCACCAAGCTCCGAAACTCAGGTGCCTGCAGTTTGCCAGCTCTGTGGGTGTTGGGATTGAGAGATGTTCAGTCTTTAGGGTAGAAAGATTCTGTATGTAGCCTACTACGCTGGCCTGATGCAAGCCATTCTTTGCGTGGACAACTTCTAATTGAACAGCTGGAGACCCGTACATCAGCTGCACACGTCTCAGCCATGGGCACAAAGGAAACGGGACGTGCAGACTTGCGGCAACCTGAGAGCTGGCTGTCCAGCGGAAATAGGTACCGGCCGGTGAAGGAAAAAAACGAACCCTGAAAATCCGAGCCCGGAACGCCAATGCGCAGTCTGCCTCCTGATTCGGCACGCCCCCAAGCCTAGCAGCTAGGCAGCCGCAACATTGAAAATGTCCCTGACTGAAACAATCGGCAATATGGAGAGCACTTTGGAACATGTTCTTGGCGCACTGCTGGAGCTCGGCCACGTTGCATTTCCCTGCCCAGACCTAATCGCAAATTGAAGAGGTGTTGTCGGCCAAGACTGGCTGCTTTGCACAGAAACGCCCTTGAAGGTTTGGGCTCACATGATTTTGACAAACACAAGACCAATATACACATTCAAATATTGTCTTAAACAGTTGCACAGACCCTTGGAAAGCGAGAAAACCGCTTGTCAACAAACTGCAACGGTTTCAATTTCAGGCCGCTGCCAGCAAGCGCTTGAGACGCACCACCAGGTAGTCATCGCCTTGGAATATGTCCATTCGATTCCTTTCGGCTCGTAAAGCATGGCCGCAAAGCACCAAGCAGCCACAGAACAAGGCTCGCACGCGAGAGCGCGGCCCGCCAGGAGGCGAGCGACTGCAACATAGGTGTGCTACATACACTGTTCTAAGTAAGATTTTGGGTACGGGCTTGCTTCAACATGTTTTGAGACATACCGGTAAATCATGTTCTAAGTTGCGCTGATGAGAAGGCATGAGAAGGCCACATGTGTTTTCCCACATGGTGATGTCAATCAGCATACGATGTTGTCGGCCAGAACCTTTTTTTGCCAAGAGGAGCTACGAGTGAAAGAAATGAACGAACGCGTGAATTAAAATAAGATGTGAACGAAACCAGTTCATTTAAATAGGAAATCCTTGCAAATATATTATAAGGCTTTGTAAAGAATAAAATGATGCACGAAAGCCGAAATAATATAATGAACGCAGCATTTACACGATTTTAATGCGTACACGTGACAGTAAATTTAATATGAAACGAATGAATGAGTGAACGCATTAAAATATAGTAAATTCGCTTCTCTTCCCTTAATATTGTATGCGTGTGTCATTCACTCCGTTCATTCACTTGTCCATAGAATTATAGTACATTTAATATACTATTTTCCCCAGCATTTAATAGTAAATTGTAAGGGCTAGAAAAATAGTAATATTTTATGAGGCCCTTTTGTACGTATTATTTGGTATTTTGGAAATCTAAACATTTAGAAGTTACATCAGATTCATTTTGTTTTCTTATTAATAGTTCTTGGTTATTATTCTTTGCTCTTATTATAATTCTATTTATCTTTACAGGATTTAATATTTATTGTTGGACTGGAATTCACTTCTCATAGAATTATTTTCTTATATTTTATCATCTTTTATTTGGATTAATTTATAGTTTTCATATTTGGTCTAGAGATTTATTAAGAGAATTCACTAAAAAATATGAAGTCTTATTAATAATCTTTTTTCTTCTTTTTGGGGGTTTTCTAGTTTCTGAAGCTCTATTATTTGTATCCTTCTTTTGGACATCTTTTCATTTATTATCTTGTCCAACTTTAGGGATGTGGCCTGGAGAAGCTTTCTATCTTCCAGATCCTTGTGAATTAACTTTTGCTAATACACTTCTTTTATCTAATGCTGCTATATCTTTAGGAAATGCTTTTATTAATTTAGAAATTTCATCACAATATATTATTTTCTTCACTTTGTGGTCATTCTATTTATCTTCTCTTTTTATTAGTTTGCAGATTAAAGAATTTCGTATTCTCGCATATTCAATTAATGATTCACTTTATAGTTGTCTTTTCTTTTTTCTTACAGCATTACATTTCTTTCATCTAATTCTTGGTATTTTACTTCTTTGTCTTATCTTCTTTTCTTGTACTGGTTTCGTTCGCCAATATTATAATTAAAGCGTGCATCACTACGTTCTTTACCTTATAATTACAATATTGTGCTCTTTTTATTCACTAATGAAGAACAACCATTACCAAGATACTAATTGGGCTCGTTAACCACCCTATCTCCCATTAAAAGTAGTATCTTGACTGGTGATTGAATGGTGGATCATGGGCTGGGTGAAAAAGCCAATGAACTGGATTACATGCGTCTGTTAAGTCATGATGGTGCACACTTCGGTCACTTTTAATTCTATTATTAGTGCATCCCGGGCGGTATTATTAATATGAAAATAGAAGCCCGGGGAAAAAGGGCAAATTTTATTAATTAAAATCGTGCATCGCTTCACTCTTTACATTTTAATTATAAAATTGTATGCCCTTTTAGTAGTATTAATACGGGCGTATAAAGAGAGAGAAATAGACGCCCTAACATTCATTTCGTTCTCCTTTCACGCTCATAATATTAACTTCGTGCGTCATTCACATGTTCACTCCTTACAAGATTAATATTAGTATTACGCCTCAAATCAGCTCCACATGGTCCATATGCACACGCCAAAAACAAAAGCCTTTTTCATTTCATGCGCATCATGGTATCACACTAAGCGGCAAAAATTGCAAGCGTGCACGATTGGCCCGGCACATCAAGTGTGCTAGTACGTGCTATCTAGCTCACACCGAAACCTACGCCTACATGTGACCGGCATGAACGTTTGCCGCCCCCCTGGAATTACTATTCAACCCGCAAAGTGCAGAAGATCTTCATCTAGCCTCACCACACCTTCTACGATTGCACGTGCTTCTTCCGACTGCATCTCAAGCCAGCTCGGCCACCGATCCACCTTTGGTAGATCGGGACCCCCACGCATAGCACTTCGAGCTACCAGGTTTCTGGCCTTCTTCCCGAAGTTCGGAAGCAATTCCCCCTCCTCCCCACCGCACCCCCAGTAAGCAAATGGGGGCTGTGCCCCCCCCGAACCCCCCCGCTTTCTGGTTACATCAGAAAAGTCTGTGTTGCCATGTAGATTACGTTTCTCTATTATTCTTTTGCTGCACTGTGTGTCTGAGGCCGCGACCTCTCGACAAGTAACAATGAGTAGCCGCTTCAGGCTGCTTGTGAACGCAAACAACATAAGGAAACTAATACGGCGGGATACCGTCAAAACCATCGAATTTGGGGGTCCACTTGTGGCCAGGCGATTTCCTATCAGGGAGACGTACGCTTTGAGCATGGCTAGCTTGGAGAAAAATAAAAATCTGATGGTTAATATGCTGACACCTCATGGACCCATAGAAGCCACTAAGGCTTTTCACACCAAAGACTGCCGCTGATTTAACATGTTTAACGGAATGAATACTGGTCGGAAGGCCTTTGCACAATCTTAAGAAGAAAGTTCTGAAGCGAGACACCAGGACGCGGGCGGTCATGCCCGGGACCAACCAACCAGGAAGGAAACCATACACTGCAAGAAACTCGATCAAAACTACCAGCCAGGGAGTTCGTTCCCCTTGAGGCCTGTCCCAAAAGAACCATCTCTGCTCTGAAAACTGCATCCCTTCTGGGCTGGAGATACGCAAAGAAGCCGAGATATCTGCACCTGCAGTCAAAGAGGACATCAGGCAGTAAAATATTCGTTCTGTACATCTGCAGCACCTTTGTCTCAACATCCCCAAGCAGAACAGAATGTCCCATTAAATGACAATTACTGTGGCATTTCCGAAGGCGCTTGCTATTTATCCGCCTGCGGGGCTTACAGGTGCAGATCACAGTCTGTGTTAGTCCTGCAGAGACCTGTTCGTCCTCGTCAAAAGGTGCAAGTTGGCAAGCTGCCGAGCGCTTAACTAAAGTGGCAACCAAGTGAACTTGCACGGAAACTGCTTGCTGGAGATAAGGGCGAGACCTTGCTATGAGATATGAAGAAAGTGCTTTAGCTGTGGCTTTCGCTGAAGCATCAACTTGCTCATTCGAGAAGAGGACTGCAACGTTTCTCCTTTGGTGTGTGCTTTGACCTTGACAAACCGTATGCTTCCATTGCACGTCCTTGCTACATCAAGAATTAGATCCCACAAATCTGGATTTCAAACTGATAAGGACAATCCCATTCAAAATAATGCATCTGCACGAATAGGACAATCAGTAGCGACATTGATGTCCCCGTCAAATGGATAGCCAAGATCAAAGCATAAAGCTCGCAACAAAAAGAGTTAACAGAGGCACTGTGCACAGCTGCAGCATGCTTGAAAGGCCGGGCACTGCAATTGCGGAGGCACCTGCGCGGATTGGCACCCACCGATGGTGAAACACAACTGCCATCCACAAACATCGTGGGCTGTGGACACCAACGCGTTTCCACCACTGGAAGTTTCCACACCTGTGTAGGCTCGTCATGGAAGTGGGGCGGCTCGAAAAAGATACCCGTTGCCCAGGATGGCAAAGGTGTGTCACTGTGGGACGGAATGGATTCCTGTAAAGCTTCGCAGTCACGGAACATGTGGCAACATGTTTTCCGTTTCCCACAGCCGCTTTATAGCGATGTCCGTTGTAAACAGACCCAGATAAGCGATGACAAAATTCCACGTGTGTCGTGTTTGTTCGGAGGGAGCTTTTCAAGATACCCGCGAAGGAACTGGACCTCGTCATCCTTTGCGAAGGTCGTGCATACTGTCCTTGTCATACCTGAAATGTGATTCGTTGAGTAGATTCCTGACGTCCCGCGCCAAAACCCAAGCATTCCTAGAAGGGTTAGATCTTGGCCCACATACCCATTTGGAGTGGTCGTTAACATGAACATGAGGCCTTCATTTCGGAAGACAAGGGAAGTTGATCTTCAAAATGGCAACCTGGTCTCATCGACTCGCTCATCTTGTTTGGAGAATTCAAAAAAATTGGCGGGAGGAATTTAATGATTTGGCTTGTATTTTTGCTTTGCAGGCTCTGCCGACTTTCAACAGAAACCGGTGAGCATTTCGTTTCCTGCGGGTCGACAAGACAGCGTAAATACAGTTAATCATTGGAATGGACACCTAAACAGCCGAATTAGTGCACATGACCCCACAAACATATTTAAAACCCAGCCCTGAAGATGATCGGGAGTTCCAACTGGGCAGCAACATGTAAAGCCACATAAGCACTTGTTATGTGATTGCTGTTCATTGATGCCACACCATTCACACACAACACATGCGGCATTGCACCGTTCCCACATGCTGACGTGCAACTCTTCCCAACCCTCTCAGCCTCTAGCCTTTTGCACAAAAGGCCCAGTACGATCTTCAGGCCCGCCTTGAACCTCCCTTGCAGCCCCCGTCAAGCCCCATGTCCTTGAAGCCGGCCCTTTGAAGCTCTGCTTGAAGCCCGCCTAAAATCGTCCCAAAGCATCCGACCCTTCGTCCCCTCTCCCCTTCACCCCCCCCTCTGCGCGAACTTTAAAGCCCCCCTCAACGTCGAAGAGTGGCAGGCCCACGAAAAACGATGTTTAGAGATGATGAAAAAACGCTGGCGGAGTCAATTAAACATCCAGAAGTGCTTTTTTTCATCTCAGATTTGGAGTTGCGCAAACAAGCAATCTTGCAAGATTGTGTTTGCGAATGAGAGGCATTCTTACTGCCTGCAATATTTCTCAAACGCTATCAAAATTCTTGTCTCTCAGAGTTCTTTATTAGACTTCGGAATGAAAAAATGAAACCAAAGTTGACCGCGGAAGAACGATTGGAAGGAACAAAAGACATTGGAATTCCAGAAATCATTTGTGGGGCTCTTAACTATTCTATTTGCCCCCTTTCAATTAAATTTACGCGGGCATCATTAATCTTTGCTTTTGGCCAATAATAGTGTTAAAATGTTCTCTACGTCTAACGGCTAACGGTATAAGCTGTGTAAAGCCTGCTCAGCGTCTTCATTTCCATAAAGCACAAATTGTATCAATAGAAGCGCGTGAGCTGTGCTACCAGCGTAAATAAACAAACGCACACAATGAAAACAATGGAGGTGGCCGTGTGGCGGTGGCTGGTGGTGCCAGGGTTGCATGCGCATATGGCACGTTCAGAGGGCGTACGGGGGACTAAAAACTTGGAACTTTTGCCGAACGGCAAAATGGGGGTGCAAAGCACTCTCCCGCTATGTCTGTAGCCTCCGAGAAAAAATTGTGCAAGAAGCAGAACAGAGACAGTTGCAGAATCCATCAGTTGCAAAATCCATGAAACTCGACGTCTCAGCTGCAGTATAACAAAGTAAACAAAAACCTCTCTGGTCTCGAGAAGCCACCAGCGTCAAGCCTCAAACGATTCACAAATATATGGAAGCCGCAAGGGTCAAACGATTCACAACACTATATAACAACAAATATTCAGCATACAAAAGCAAAATCAGAAACAAACAAAGAGCCAGAAAAGAGGCCAGGAAAAAATACAAAAATAGCGCAAACCAAATCAAAAACAAACAGTTTTGCAGTCAAAAACATTTCAACAATATAAGCATAACAAATAGCACAACTGAAGTCGTGATTTCTGGAAGCAGCGAACAGACAAAACTACTACAACTTCTACTACTCCTATTACTACTACTACTACTACTACTACTACTACTACTACTACTACTACTACTACTACTACTACTACTACTACTACTACTACTACTACTACTTACTACTACTACTACTACTACTACTACTACTACTACTACTACTACTACTACTACTACTACTACTACTACTACTACTACTACTACTACTACTACTAATACTACTACTACTACTACTACTACTACTACTACTACTACTACTACTACTACTACTACTACTACTACTACTACTACTACTACTACTACTACTACTACTACTACTACTACTACTACTACTACTACTACTACTACTACTACTACTGCTGCTACTGCTGCTGCTACTACTACTACACTACTACTACTACTACTACTACTACTACTACTACTACTACTACTACTACTACTACTACTACTACTACTACTATACTACTACTACTACTACTACTACTACTACTACTACTACTACTACTACTACTACTACTACTACTACTACTACTACTACTACTACTACTACTACTACTACTACTACTACTACTACTACTACTACTACTACTACTACTTACTACTACGTACTACTTACTACTACTACTTACTACTACTACTACTTACTACTACTACTACTACTACTACTACTACTACTACTACTACTACTATTACTACTACTACTACTACTACTACTACTACTACTACTACTACTACTACTACTACTACTAATACTACTAATAATACTACTACTACTACTACTACTACTACTACTACTACTACTACTACTACTACTACTACTACTACTACTACTACTACTACTATTATTACCACTACTACTACTACTACTACTACTACTACTACTACTACTACTACTACTACTACTACTACTACTACTACTACTACTACTTCTACTACTACTACTACTACTACTACTATTATTATTTTTATTGAACGCTGAGTGAGCAGGCTCGGGCGAGAGCACCGAAAATTGAGTTGGAACTGAATTCAGTACTGATTTGGGATCGCAAAGACAGAGCTAGCTAGCTAATGTTAGACGAGGTGTAGCTTAGCGCTCAGATGTGAAAAGGTCTTCTCCCCGTCGTCCTAATGTGTTTCACTGCGTCCAGCAAACACGCACCGATCTGCAATTGGGTCGTACCTGTTGGCTGTTGCCGACAGTGTCCATCTTGTGGGTTTCACACTTTGATGACATTAGTTGGGGTTGCAGAAGAAATGAAGGAAGACAAAAGACATGAGAAGGATCGCTCTGAATCGCTCGCTGCATGACAGCTGAACCAGTACTGTGGAGGTCCATCCTGGCGAAGCCAGAATTGTGAGTCGACAGCTCCGTAACTTGAGCGTTCTGCTGCAGGTGTCTCGGTCTTTGTTGGCTTTTTCTGTGATGGGAGTCACACTTCAAGCCCTCAACGTTTTCTGTGGTTGTGCAGAGTCGCCTGCTCAGAATCAAAGCTTTTGGCAGGCTTGGGTTTTGGAGCCCTTAGCGAAACACTTAACATCCAGCGACAGCCTGAATTTTGGAAGTTTGGGTGACAGAAAGGGCAGGAGTGCAAGAGAAGAACATTTTTTTTTTCCTCTGGCGCCTCTTTACTACATCAGTAGCACAGTAGGCCGGTCTTGTTGGGCTCGACGAAAAGGGTGAAACAGAGTCAGCGCACACAACCCGCCAGACACAACACGAAAACACCAAAGAACAGACACCGAAGAAACAAAGCGAGCAATCGCGCTAAACTACTAGATACCCCACGGACTCAGTACTCGAGGTCGTCAATGAAGTCCCGGTGCACAAGGAAGCACAGAGCTTGTGGGGGATTCGCAAAATGCGACGTTGCCAGATTCACAAAATCACCATCATGTAGCCACTGGTGCGACAGCGGTTAGTCAACCCGAGGTCATCAGACGAGGTTCGGATCGCTTAATCGTTGTCAAGAAAGACAACCAACACTCAATGGCGAAAGGATGTTGCAAGTCAGACTCCCAAGGGGGGATGAAAGATGTGCATATGCCCCATGGTGGTCAGCCAGTGGGGACTTAACAGCAAGAACAATCCAGGCCAGACCGGCCCAGGGCACTCCATGGTGGTCAGCCAGTGGAGTAGCTCCGAGCACAGGGTTCACCAGTCAACCTGGCGCACAAGTGCCCACCCTCAAAGGTGCCCGCGCACGGCCAGAGGGGGGGGCGAGAGTAGCAGCAGCTACCGATTACTTGGCGCACAAGGGCCCACCCTCAGAGGTGCCCGCGCACGGTCAGAGGGGGGGCGAGAGTAGCAGCAGCTACCGATTCCACGGGGAAAGTCCACGGCGAATTATCAAACCCTTAACGCCACAGGGTTTTAATGACACCGAGGGACCTCCCAGTCCAGGCATCTCACACAAGGCTACGCCACTTTGGCACTGGTCTGCGCATCGACACGCATCAGGTCCCTTCACCCAAACCCGCGAGGTACGTCGGTAAGGAGATGGGAGGGCTCACATCACCGTCATGCAGCCACCAATGCGAATACATTCAGCACCAGCCAAGGCCGTTCACGAGATGGTTCACAGTTTCGCCATCACAGGTGGAGCAAAGTCGTGCCTCAGCACGGAACGTTGTAGGTGTCAACCTTCGTGTTCCGAAGTATAAAGTTGCCCCATGGTGGTCAGCCAGTGGGGGCTTAACGGCAAGAACAAAGGGGTAGGACCAGCCCAGAGTACTCCATGGTGGTCAGCCAGTGGAGCCTCTCCGAGCACAAAGCGCCACGTTCTTTTGACTCACAAGAGCTCGTCCGCCGGCCAAAGCAGGCTTGACTGCTTCGTTCCACTCAGAGCCATCAGGTAAACCAAAGCAGGCGGGGACCCCACCTGCCCCGCAGGAAGCGGGAGAATCCCCCAGTCGAAACTTCGCACTCAAGGCCAAGCAACTATCTCCTTGGCCGGTGAGGGTTGAGGGTTC